TGGTATTTGCTATAGACCTCCCATCAAGCTATTACAACCAAGGAAATATTCAAATTGACTCATGATAGACCCAAAGGGGCCGCGAGCGCGGAAGAGGGGCAGAAATCCGTAATAGAATCGTCGCACAGGGACCACGTTCTACTCATTCGTAACTTCAGGCCAAAACTGCGATGTTGAAAGAATGCAGCGGAGGTAGTGGGACGAGACCGCTTAAGCAACGCCGGACATCCAGACAAAGATACCACAAGCCCATTTTCAGAAACGATTGGGCCTTTAGATTCAGTCAGATAGCTCGCATGAAAGGCCAAGACAAAGGATATTTTGTGCGAGAGGCTATGCATTTCTGCCATGAAGGAATCGCAGGTCAAGATTGGTGCGCGGAAGATATGAGAAGAAGTTCGACCCTCAAACATAAATGATGTACAACGCTACGGTCTGGGATTTCGGTGCCAAACTAGCCCATGTCCGGGGTTCCTCCAATACCTCATACTTGAAAAGACGCCTATCGAGCCTCCTGTCGAAGAAGAGCCAAGTCAAACTGCATCTGATGCTTTACGAATCACTTGAAGCTAGATTGTTATTAGAAGATGTGTAATGATTTCTGACGACGCTGCGTTGCAGACACTTGGCGCGGACAGCGGGAAAGTGTCATAAAATTAAGGTTCTCTTGGAACATTCTCGAGAGACGTCGGTGAGGAAACATGATCAACCCCAGATGCTCACTAGATTCATGGAACAGCGGGCGTCTTCGCCACAAGACTTGTTGAATACAACCTTTTGGGGAGAAAGAGAGAGAGAGAGAGAGAGAGAGAAATTTGCCACTGGTTTTACACAGCAATCACCATCTGTCGTATATCTTGGCACTGTATGATACTTCTGAATCATATTTGCGAGAGCCATCTGTACTTATCTATGAACATAGATGTACAAGTGATCATTCGCAAGGCACACTTATTGACTGGTACATTTGACTGGCGGGTTTCCTGCTTTCACAGAAACGTGTGCCATAGAGTTCGATTCGCAAAGAATTAGACACAACAACATGTAGAAACGAAGAAACGAGTCCCTGATAAGTCAAGACCCCTAGTATAAGTCATTAAGAACCGGAATTCAAAGTCGGATATCCATTGACGAGCCTCTGCTATTCGAGTTGCGGCCACGTCCACATGCCTGATTCTTCGTTACCAAGTGACTTATACGCCACCTTGTTGCAGAGGGTAGTCTGGTTAGCCTTCATGAACTACACCATAGCCAACATCAAAAGCGAAGACGTTTCACAGAAATACTGTACGCTGTCACGGCGAGATGAGGAACAGCAAACTCATATCGTACCTGCCATAAGCCACGCCATCCAGCATTCGGAACGATTTTCATATGGCCCGCAACCGCCCCGGAACTCGCCCGTAGGAGGACCCCAGCCGGCTCCGTTGTGTCGCACGGAGGATTACTGTGGGAACACGGGAAGATCATGCCGGATCTTGACAAAAGGTCAGTGTTTGCAGATAAGGCAGGAGGAACCAACCAGCCCATGCACATCTTCCAGGCCCATGGCCTCGCTTTGCCCAGCGCAAATTAAACAAGACCCATACGGGATATCATCATCGCGCAATGATGAGCGAGGCATTTCCATTGCAAGTACTTCGTACGTCGTACCTGTTTCCGACCGAGGTTCACAGAAACAAGCTCCAGGCCTCTATTGGTGGCCTCAACGTTCATTCGCAGGCACATGCTTCCTCCTCTGCAAACATCCATCACCCGGAACCATTGAGAGTTTCCCTCCAATTTCAAATTTCCCAATTCCATGTTGACCCCCTCCCCCCATGTCAAATGTTTGATGATCCCGCAACGGTAATCATCAGCATTAAATTCACTAATACTAATTTTCTGGAGGGGTCACCGTTTTAGTGTACAGGTTTGGGGTCCGAAAAAGAAGTTAGTCGCCGGTGCTCCCCCGGCGCCCGTTGTAACCCCCCGCAATCCTCCCCTTCATTTCGTTGAAACGCTTCTTTTCTTTCCGTTGGAAACGGTTATCACAAAACGGCGTGTTGAATACTCTGTCCGCACTCTGCAGTGTAAGTACCTTTGCACTAAGGTCAGATCCATGTCTAAGGGGACCAAGACGATCTCGCCTAGTTTCAATGTTTTCTTCACCTTGCGCCACAGATGTAGGAAACATCTACACAGAGAACACTGGGAAGTTAAACGTTCAATGTTCACAATCACTTGCAAGTGCAGCAGGATATCTACTCGCGCCATTGCCTCAAGTAGCAGCATTCAGAAATAACGCATTCTTCCCCGCTCTGGACAGCTGCTCGTCTCCCTCGCGATGCTAAGTTTGGAAAGAACCCTACTCCCCTCCCATTGTGTCATTGGGCACAACTCAATGATCACGACCAAAGCAGCGCATCCGCGGCGTAGCCCGCACACACGGCCGTGAGTAAGCCCGGACACTCCGATCCGCTGACCGGTGGCTGTGCGGCCGGAAGGCCCCTCCGGTAGACTGTAGGTGACGACGACGGCCGCGTCGCCCCCAATGTAGAATTGGTAATCTTGGTCTTGGCCTCTTTCTTCCTCCCTCGACCTCCCTCTAGCTGTTGGCCGTCTGAGAGACGCCAAGTTCGACCCTGCCAGTTCATGGCTAGAACAGCGTAAAAAGGCTCAGGTATACAATCAGAAAACGCACCAGTGGTGGATTGGAAAGTATCTTAGTGGTTGTGCGCTTATTCCCTCTCTCATCGTTATCGTGATCACCGAAGAAGACGAAGCCAGCGTGCTTGGTACACAGAGAAGACTAATCTCTTTATTGAAGTTGCCGTATCCACTAGATACATAGAAGATGGACTTGAAGGGCAATTCGATCAAGTTGGGCCTTGACCTATAAGACCTTGTCCTTATGTTGAGTGTCCTCTGATGGCAGGCATGTCTGGTTTACTTGTGGGGTTTTACGACGATGAGCTCTATGAGGTTTACGACGCGGTTAAATAGCAGAAATAAACCGCTTAGAGATGCCACGACCGCCACGGCCGCCATTATCGTCCTTTGTCTCAAGTGAAGCACTCTGCCCTGGCTTGTTCTTTCTTGGAAAAATGTCGTGACGTGCAGAGGATAGTATTCAACCTCCTAATAATACAAATTCTTGCACTTTGGACGGTGCAATACAACAATGGAGTTGAAAGACTGCAGTCCACAGGATGAGTAGCCATCCTTTTCGACGTCGGCTTTTCGACCTCGTAGGGTGGATCGAGATTCATATTGAACCCGCCACCAAGTATAGAATATCAGCATAGGGATGAGGTTCTCCATCGTGGGTTTTGGCTAATCACACCCGTTTACACGGTGAATCTCTCATCACTAGCTCTACTTGACTCAGTCGACTTATAATTAGGCAGCCATTTAGGAAAATAATTACGAACGCAAACACAGCTTTGCAATGTGATTGCCCAATCCATATCAGTCCACAGAAGCTCAGCCACCATCAAACACGCACCTTCACAGTACAAGGGACGAATCAACTTGGCTTCACTTCCACTAGGCGGGAACCAACAACTTGGCATCGTCGCAACCGTCGCGATACGCCGACAAGTGGTATCTGACGATGCTGGCTACGGCATTTACCTCGGGCTGGCCCGCCAAAGTCTAAAATGGGAGCTGAGGGACTAGGAAGACCGCGGCACCGAAGACGGCAGACAGCAAAAAGGTTAATGGGCTTTTGAGGGGGAAAGGGAGCTGACGGACGCCCGCAAATCCGTAGATACTGGACAGAGAGAGGGAAAAAAAAAGGGCTCGGTCTAGAATGGCAACAGTGAGGTGCGGCAAAGAGGGTGTGGTGTAGAGTTCGGATTGATTTGAGTTTGGGGAACAACATCGGATTATCGTCATTGGCGGGAAGTCAGGTATACTCCAGTGCTGGACAGTAGATTTTTGGGGACACAGCTTGGCCACTTGGAGACGGCGGTATCATGTGACGATCAAACAGCAATGCAAGGCCATCTGCCTCGGTCAGCGAAGCGAGTTGAAGAGTGTAAAGCAAGGTAAGGCCTTCCATCTGCATCGCTAAGAAACGGGCATATGGGATGGGATGGGATCGGACACCCGTAGATCTCTCTTTTTTCCTGTTCCTAGGATATTCAAGCGAGGGCGCGTCATTCCTAGAGGAGGCGGAGACCTAGAGGAAAGCCCATTGGTTTACATAGGCGCGAGAAAGGCGAATAGCAGCGACGGGTGAACTTGTTGTGGCCGCAGCAGGTTTTCTGGCAACGGATGAGGCGATTCAGCCCCAATGGCGGGGAACAAGGCCGCTCGGGTCGGTGTGTGGCGTCGGCGGGGAAAGAGCTGGGTCCGGGTTGGTGGCTTTTTTCTCGGTGAAGGCAGATTCCGCGCATAAGGTCAGGGTTCTCGAGGGGCTGACAGAGGCGAGGTTTTGGGCGCTGGGGTTTGTGAAGCTCCGCGGATTGTGTTTGAGACAATGAGTGCCAATGGTGGGAATTGTTTGAATGGCGAATGCTTGAATCCGAGAAGAACAGACCGAGGAGTGAGGCTGAGCAATCTTGAAGTGGAGACGCAACGGGAAGGCATGCAGGCACATTGGCGCACGACAGGTTGGAGGCCGTGATCCGTGGAGGCGTCGTCACCTTGGGGCAGGTGTGGCGTCGATACGTCTTCTCTTTCCAGTTCTCTCTCTCACTGCGATTATTTTTTTAATTTTATTTTTGGAGACACACGCAAAGGTTAAGCCCCCGCAATGGACCTGACTTCTAAAATGCGCTTGTCTGTAGAGATACGTACCTCCGAGGTACCTTTCGGAGCAGTTGCCTATGGCCCATGCTTCAAGTCTGAGGTGACACGGTGAGTGGTCGTTGATGAGGAAGGAGGGCTCCACAGCGTTTGACCCCTGGTCATCAAAGGGAAAGCGCCGGTTACCCTGTCAATGGGCTTCGGAAGATGGCCCCCTCTATGAGGTGCGTGGGTGCGTAGAATTAAACAACGGATCCCAGCAGCACATGCAACCACGGGAACGCGACACATCGAATGGGCGACGAACGGCTGTTGCGGCACTTGCTGATTGCTTGGAATCTCTGGCGATCGTCGCGGGTACCTTGCGCGGCGCAGCGACCATCACGGAAAACTGCGCTCGGGAGAAGGAGGGAGAGAAGAAGGAAGGAAAGAGGGCTCCGACTTGCATGTCGAGGGTGGAAGGTGTCACGATCCAGTATGTTCTTACTGAGCCTTTGGATTCGGAATCGATTCGGGTTCATACTCAGACCATGCAAACACACCGTATGAGAGAGAATACGAAAGCTTGTTGAAAGTGATACTAACGTCTGGCAGATGAACGGACAGAAAGGCCGGGCGGGAAATCGGACAGGTGGACAGACATTTTGACGGCTTGCCATGCCATGCAGCACCTGCACTGGACAGCAGTATGATGTATCCGTAAATTAGGGACAGACTTTCACGTCACTTTCATGTAATAAAAAAGTTGCACTCGTCTCTGGCGTGGCCATCCCATCCATACATTTGCTCGACAATGCCGGCCTGGCTTCTTTTTTGCTTCAGGGACCCAATCATGGCTCGTACTCAGTCGCATCCCTCACACCCAAACCTGGAAAGCCAGGACCCCCCATCGCCATGGTGTTACTGTTGGTTGCCCCCCTCTCCGAAATGGAAGCCTCCCCGCCAGCCCGCTAAGCTCGTCACACGCACCACCAGTCCACAGTCCACCACCACCACCATCTCTCACAAATTTTTGGGTTGCTGGCATCCGCAGGCTTTGAGAGCCGAAGGGGGACCCTGACAATGTCCACCCGTGAGGCCCGCGGCGACGTCACCCGCCCCCCAATTGCTCCGATGATGGAAGACCACAAATCACTGTCCGCACCTTGAGAAGTCTTCTCGAAGCTCTTGATCAGGTACAAGGAAGTGGGAGGTGTTGGAATATGCACATCCTCTTAAGCACACCAAGTAAGGTACTTGAGGCAAGGTAATCTGGCACTAAGCCGATATCAAGAGTACAGAAGCGAAAGGCGCCGCGCCACACTTGAAACGCGACAACTCAACCTCCATTTTGGATGGCGCAAACTAAGAGGTACCTACCACTGTACAGTATCCGTAAGGTACCTTAGCTGCGGATCCTTCCTCCAACTTGAATCCACACTGCCTTACCGATACCGCGTAATTATGTATGGAGCACGCAGTATGAGATCTACTGGAGCAAAGCAAAAAGGCTGACTGCACTGGCACAGCTCCACGCCTGTTTTGTCTTGCTGCTAGCTGGCTGGCTGACTGCTGGTGTTGCTGCTGCTGCTGCTGCTGCTGCGCAACGGTGGTAAACGGGTACTTTCCCTTTCAAAGCCTCCACAACGTGTTTGCGACTGGCAACTGCGCACTTGCGGTCGCTCCTTCAACCATCGCTACCCCTGTCCATAGGTACACAGTCGTGACAGTAAGGTACTCCTCCTCCCGCTTCCCAAGTAAAAAAAGTCCCATCCCATCAACACAACCCCCCCGGGTCCCATCCTGGTCATCCTGCGTCCTGCCCTGCCTCCCGCAGACAATCTGCTACGGCTCAATCAGCTTGAAACCGTGCCTTCCCAGGTTTCTCGAGAGACGTCCTCCTTGACCTCTCCCACCTTTCAACGTTTCGACCGAACGCATCCCTTCTTCTCCTCCTCTCCCTCACCTCCCTCACAAGTAACATATTCACTCCTCCCACAGGACCACAGCAGGACCACAGGTACCCCCTTGGATCTCTCCCGTCCACAACCCCGAAACCCGTCAGGCGCATTGAGTTGAGCACCGACCCGCGCGGCCATACCGCATTCCTCACCACAGCCCTCACTGCCCTCCTCGAGCTGTGCAACCCTACCGGCAACCTCCTTGAACAGCCTGCCCTGCCCTGCCTGGGATTGGAAGGCCAGAAAGCACGAGCAAAACCTTGCGCACCTCACCCACCACAACTGTACCTCAGTACCTTACCTCACGGGGAAGCAGGAGCAAGAAAGAAAGAAGAATAGGGGCTCAACTTACCTGAAAGTTGGACTGCCGACAGAGACCGATCCGACGACTCTGAGAGAGAGAAGGTGCGACTGTCTTGCTGCGCGACTGCAACTCTGCGACTCAACTCTCTGAGAAGCGCCGAACAGTCCCAACTTTCCCATCCTATCCACTTTCCACCTCGACATCTCCTTCCTCTCTCCCCCGCGACACCACTCTCTACCTCCAGCGCCCACCTCAATCTACCTAACGCCTACGGATACAACGTCTCTGACTGGCCAAGATCCAAGTCTGCACAGCACGGCGCATCCGCAGCACTGCCAACAACGCCGCCGGCCTCCCAAGAAGCAGCATCCCGCTCTCCCCGAGGGACGCGAATCGTCTTCCCGATCCATAGTCATATCCACCCACAGACTCTCCTGGCCACAAACATCAGACACTGGTTCCTGTGATTGACCCCCCGTACCATCGCAACCATGTCGTATAATCGTTTAGGCAAGTAACTTGGTCCCCTTCTGATATTGACCCTTGGCGTCATTCATCCCACATCTTCCTCTCCCTCCCGCACAAAGCCCAAGACCTGATTTGTCCCCAACAATCCCCTACTACCCTATGTATGGTCTATGGTCAAATCATCTCGTCATCCGTACCTGACCGCACTGCCTTTGTCAAAGAGCTTGCTTGTCCGGCGCATACTATCCGTACATCGAGGAAGTACGAATACGCACCTTCCGTGGCGCAAGCTTCTTTTCCTCTTCTACAACTACCTCCTTCTTGCCTCCCTAGCATCCTACTTCCGATTTACGGCAACTTCTTTGTGTAGACGGCCAACCTAACCTTCTCTTCCTGTAGACGACGATTACTACAACGACCGGATGGACCCCCGGTACCATCGTACGCCTTCGCCAGGCCAGCCGGCTCAGCATGGCTACCAACTAGAGGACAACCCATTCAACAACCAGGCACAGCAAGGATACCACCAGCCTCCTCCTCAACATGTCGACGACCCGTATGGACGCCCTAGTCCTCATTCTCAGCTTGATATTCCCATGGCACCTGGCCGCTACGGCACTCCCAGCGATCAATTACAACTGAACGCAGCAGTAAGCAATGCCCAAGATCCTTGATATCGAACTGGACTAACAGACATTCGCACATAGCACTCTGTTAGCAACTTGAGCGGTTACGATACACCAGTCAACCATGGCGACTACGGTGTCAACCCGGAAGCGCATCATGACGCCTACTACAACCAGTCTTACGAGCCTTCACCCCACGATCCTGCACACCCTTACGATCAACCTACCGGATACAACGAGTATGATGACAACAGGCCAATGCTGCCTCACCAGGACACTATGACCACCGATGGAGGATACCAGGACAACCCGACACCACAGCCAGCTGGAGGAGGTATCAAGAGGTGGAAGACCGTGAAGCAGGTCCTGCTATACCGCGGAAACTTGGTTCTCGACTGCCCTGTGCCCCCAAGGCTGCTTAACCAGCTTCCCCACGGTGAGCGTGACGAGTTTACACACATGCGCTATTCCGCCGCCACTTGCGATCCCAACTTCTTCTACGACGACAACTTCACACTTAGACAGAGGCTTTTCTCCAAGCCGAGACATACGGAGCTTTTCATCGTTGTCACCATGTACAATGAAGACGAGATCTTGTTCGCCCGGACAATGATTGGTGTCTTGAAAAACGTCGAGTACATGTGCAGTCGGAAAGAGAGCAAAACCTGGGGCAAGGATGCCTGGAAGAAGATTGTTGTCTGTGTCGTCAGCGACGGTCGTGGCAAGATCAACCCTAGAACCCGAGCGCTGCTGGCTGGTATGGGTGTCTACCAGGAGGGTATTGCGAAGCAACAGGTCAACGGCAAGGATGTCACGGCCCATATTTACGAATACACCTCTCAAGTCGGCATGACGATCAAGAACGACGTTGTCACCCTGGTCCCCAAGCAGCAGCCTGTTCAGATGCTGTTCTGCTTGAAGGAGAAGAACTCGAAGAAGATCAACTCCCACAGATGGTTCTTCCAGGCGTTCGGCCGCGTTCTTGACCCCAACATCTGTGTTCTCATTGATGCTGGTACCAAGCCCGGTGGAAACTCCATTTACCACCTTTGGAAGGCGTTCGACCTGGAGCCCATGTGCGCCGGCGCTTGTGGTGAAATCAAGGCCATGTTGGGTACGTTTGATGAAATAATTTGCTTCCAGTTTCGACATCTCTAACTGACGGTTTCTAGGCACGGGCGGCAAGCACCTCCTCAACCCCTTGGTGGCGACCCAGAATTTCGAATACAAGATGAGCAACATTCTCGACAAGCCCTTGGAATCCGCCTTTGGCTTCATTTCCGTGTTGCCTGGTGCTTTCTCAGCCTACCGCTACGTTGCCTTGCAGAATGACAAGAATGGTCAGGGTCCACTGGAGAAGTACTTTGCCGGTGAGAAACTTGAGGGAGCCGGCGCTGGTATCTTCACATCCAACATGTACCTCGCCGAAGATCGTATTCTCTGCTTCGAGCTTGTCACAAAGAGAAACTGCCATTGGATTCTGCAGTACGTTAAGTCTGCTACCGGCGAGACGGACGTACCGGACACCGTCACGGAGCTTGTCCTCCAACGTCGTCGTTGGTTGAACGGTTCCTTCTTCGCTGCTATCTACGCCATTGCCCACTTCTACGAATTCTTCCGGTCTGATCACTCTATCCTGCGAAAGCTCATGTTCTTCATCGAATTCGTCTTCAACACGATTAACATGATTTTCGCATGGTTCGCCATTGGTAACTTCTTCCTGGTCTTCAAGATTCTTACGACGAGTTTGGGCGAGGACAACTTGCTTGGTAGGACTGGCGAGATCCTCGGCGTCGTCTTCACTTGGCTCTACGGAATTTCACTCATGACCTGTTTCGTTCTCTCCATGGGTAATCGTCCAGCCGGTTCCGGTGCTTACTACATCACAATGGTTTACTTCTGGGCGCTTATAATGATGTGAGTATATTCTGAACGACTAAACGATAGCAAGCTTACTAACATCCCCATAGCTACCTGTTGTTTGCCGCTGTGTTTATTGCTGTCAAGGCTATTATCGCTGATGTCAACGATTCGAACGGCTTCAACGTAAGCGATCTCTTCAAGAACCCGGTCTTCTACACCCTCATCATTTCCGTCATGTCGACTTACGGTATTTGGTTGATCGCCTCGCTGCTCATGTTTGACCCCTGGCACATGATCACCTCCTTCGCGCAGTACATGCTTCTGACGCCCACCTACACCAACATTCTCAACGTCTACGCATTCTGCAACACTCACGATATTTCGTGGGGTACAAAGGGTGACGATGGCGCCGAGAAGCTGCCTACCGTCAGCACCAAGGATGGTTCCGGAAAGACCGATCTTCCCGATGAGGCTGATCTCAACGCCCAATACGAGCGCGAGCTCAAGGTCTTTAGCGCCAAGTTCGTTCAGGAAGTTAAGCCCCCAACGGACTCGCAAAAGGCTGAGGCTCAAATGGACTACTACCGTGGTGTCCGTTCTGTCGTAGTGTTGGCTTGGATGATCTCCAACTTTGGCCTTGCTGCCGTCGTCCTTAGTGCCGCTGGCCTGGAGAGGATAAGTCCTACCGCCAGTACCACTGACGATACGGACGGCCGTGCCAACATTTACATGTCGGTCGTGTTGTGGTCAGTGGCGGGTCTTTCTTCTTTCAAGTTCATCGGCGCGATGTGGTTCCTCGTCGTCCGCATGTTCAGAGGTGTATGATTGCTGGTGGTTACGAGCATTATGTGTAGCGGGGATGATTACTTTTCTGACGACTTTTGGTTTCGTGAGCATTATACCCACCCCTTTCTTTTGGAGAAGAGGGCTATGTGGATGGCGAACACGACTTTGGAGAAGAGTGTCCGAACTCCTCCATCATGTTTTGAGTACGATCACGGGGTTGGATGTAACTCTAATGACTTTGCTTTTATATTTAACTGCTATGCGCTTCTGTACTTGCTCAACCCTATCTTTCCTCTCTCGTCCTGCCTTTACCCGCACCCGCCATCTCTCGCTGCGTTTCGGGTTCTCTCGTATCACCATGGACCCGTCTTCGTTGGAGTTTCTTTTCGTTCTCATTCTTCTGCATGTCTCTCGAGGTTCTACATCGTCTCACCACCCTTGATGGGTGACAGCGGTGGCAGTGAACCTTGATGGGGCGCCTCTTGGCGGGGTAGCGGAGTGCGACGTGGCTTAGAGAGGCGGGTTGAGATAGACGAGGGCAAGTTTTCTGAGAAAATGATGACGAGACAATAAACAAGACTTTTATCTGATGTGAGAATGTGCGATGAATGTGCAATGAATGATTCGGTGAATACGAAGGTTGGGATTGCATACATGCTTAAAGTTAACAACGTTATTTTCTGAAGTCCGAGTGAGATATATTGCTCTTCCTCCTTGATGTGGATGTTGTTTAGTCGCTTGTCCCCGGATCGTCGAAACGTTTCAAACTTTTATTGATTTCATGGGTGTAAGGCAGACGGGAATGGATGAGCTTCGATGCAGCAAAAAGAAGAAGAAGAAAGTCACTATTCATGAGTGTATGATTGAACCAATTTGGGAATCGTATTTACTGCTTTTTTGGGGAATAACCTCTCACACTTATATAGCCGCAGCGCGGCGAAGGACTGAGGGAACAAGGGGGGAGCGAGCAGACTTTCTGAATAGAGTGACTTTAAGTCCCAGGACGATGACCGCCGCTCTACGAGGCCACCTCCTTGCCAAGTCTCTCGAGCTCCTGCTTGATAAACTCGTCGGCGTTGAGAATCTCCGTGCTGCCGTATACCACTCTCCTCCTCGCGCGATCGCCGCCCGTCCGCTCAACCCACTCCTGCAAGTTTCCGTACTCGTCCATGCTGCCGCCGCCGACGGTGAAGACCACGGCCTCGGAGAAGCCCTGGCGACGCTGGCCGAAGCTGGCGCCGGTGCCGGCTGCGGCTTGGCCGGGGAGACCGCCCGGTGCGGAGGAGCCGCCGGCGCCGGCGCGGATGGCGCTGGGCGGGGGCATGGTGCCGCGGGCGTTGGCGGAGCGGGGGTCAAAGTAAAGGTAGTTTTCCGTCTTTGCAATGGCGGAGCTGGCGGCTGTGGAGGGGTCCATGATGGACTCGACAATCTTTGTGATTGTCAGGTCGCGGTTGGCGGGGAGGAAGTTCTTGATGCCGCCGATGAGTGACTCAAAGTTTGAGGATAGGCCAGTAGGGACGCCACTTTCCTTCAAACGGTCGGTGAGGCGGTTGGAGATGGAGGAGAAGCGGCCAAAGATGTCTGATGAGCCGGCCTGGTTCGTCGTCGGGTTGGAAATCGTGGTGAGCTGGGTCATCTTCGTGGTGGCGCGGACTCTGTAAGAGCGGGTGGTCAGTACCAAAGAGTAGAGTAGAAAATACTAGCGACATGTCAGGAGGAACTTACTGTCGGATGTATGGCAGAGAGGTTGTGTCTGCGCCGCACTCTGTCAGAGCTTTCTCGAAGCCTTCCCACTCCGCCCGGCTGACGTCTTGTTCAGTGCTAAGATACCAGATGACGAACAATCTCAGCTTGTCAACCGGCTCATCGCCCTTTGCACTGTCCTTAATGAGCTCCAGTATTTGAGCCTTGGTCTGCTTCGCGGCACCCTCCTCGACTTGGAAGAAGTTGTCGAGTTGCCGGTTTTTTATGCCGGTCAGAAGTGCTGCTAAGATATTCATGTGCATGTCGAGCACAGCCTTACGCTCGCGAAGTTCCGGCAGGAGGGTAATGGCCGCCTTTAGGTGTTGCGCGCTGGCGCTGGTATCATTCTGAAGGTCCTCCAGGTCTGTCACTCCCGTCTTCTTGGTGACTGCCGCCGCATCCTCCTTATACCTTGTCAACTCGGCGTCGATATCCTCGGCTACTTGAGGGAACGGCACAGCCGCATTCTTGGTCCAGAAGAAGTCGCTCGCCGTCAAGTCGTAAGCCTTCTTGGTGTTTCCCTTGGCAGGGTTGTTCTCGTCTATGGGCGTCTCTATCGTGATTCGGTTCAACTTCATATTCAAAACATCGTGGACCAGTGATTGGTAGGTCCAAGAATGGGAAAGCATGGGTATTAAATCAACGTTTCGGTCGAGAATGATAAGGACAGGTCGTGACTGTGGCGTTCCTGCCGACGCTGGGCGGGCGCTTGAAGAAAAGAGGTTTTCTTTGGAATTGAGAATGTGGTCGCGAAGCTTTCGATCAAGCTTGGCAGAGATCATTTCCGCGGCAGCGCCCTTGGGGCACCGGATGATGGGAATGACGCCCATGGTGACAATGACGCTGAAGAGGCCACTAACAATCCTGTCCACCACCCTGTCCAGCTCCTCGTCATTCGTCGTTGCGCTGTTCAGTGCCCAGTATGTGTGGTCTCGTTGCATACCCAGGTTGAAAAGATCTGGCTCGGCAACGATGAAGTTCAGATACTGATCCATGAGTCTGGCAATGTTGTCCGATGTGCCGGCGGTTATCGTCTGCTCCGCAAAGTCTTCAAGCAGCGGTCGAGGGATGGAGGATAAGAAGTTTAGGTATGCGGGAGTGTATAGGCCCTTTTGGAGATCGCTAGTGATGTGTTGGAGGTTTTGCGCCGTAGGTTCGAGGAGGTAGATGACGGGTACGTCAGGGATAGCATGTCTCGATGCTCCAATGTGCCTGGACTCACGTCAGTAGGATGCCGGGCTCTTGAGGCAAGTAGCCTTACATGTGCATCGTGATTCCTAGCCCTCGCAGATCACTGACACGGAGAACACTGCTGATGACATCGCGGCCAAGGTCATCGAAAACCAGGACCTTCCACAAGGGCTCGCCATCCGAGGTGATGATTGCGCCTGTCGGACCAAGTGCGCCGCCGTTGGTCTGAGTGTTCTCGGTGTCGTTATCTGAGTAGGAGTCGTTCAGGCTGAGGAGCTTTTTTAAAGCGGCTTCAGGTCTAATTAGCTCCAAAGCTCTCTATAGAACATGGGCGCAATAGGTTATGCGACGTACAGATCTGGCGATCGCGCAGTGAGTGGCCCTTCGCTGCCATGACGATGGTGGGGGAGCTTTGCAGCTCTAGCTAGCTTGGAGAGCTGTTGCTGCCGCCGGAGAGGTGTTGGTGGGTTATACAAAATGAAGGCCAGACCTGGAGACTGCTACCAAACGTGTATGCTGCGCCTTTTCAATCAATCGTTCTCCGTGGTCGCGTTGTGCAATCGAGGTTGACGTCTTGCTGTTGCGACAGACAGAGGTACGTACACGGCTCCAGCATCGGTGTCCTCAAAGTGCCGTCTAGCCACATTTCCTGGATGATTCCGCTGACCTGCCCTGTGCTTGTGCTGGAGTGGATACCTTGGTACCTGCCTCGCACGATGTCATGGGACGGCAGTACTGAGCCTCCGTGATCCGACGGGCGGTGAGAGCCAGGTCAGCACCTAGGTACCTAGACACGCTAGAGCAGATTGGGCCGGCGAACTGAGTTGCGCAGCTGCCGACAGAGGCCTGTGGCTAAAAAGGTGCAGCGCGGAACTGGGAAGGCACGAGGGGCCTGTCCAGTCACAGCCAAGGCAAGTCAGGTCCGTCCGTGGCCCCTTCCGACTTGGAAAGTGTTGGCCCCTTCTGGCTCAGACCCACCTCGCAGTCAGTCATGCCTAAAAAGTGCGGCCACAAAGTGACCTTCCCGCCTCCCTTTGGACTGGCCACTGCGAAACAATGACCAGCTTTTCCTCCTCCGCAACGACAACTCATCCCGCTTCTTCCTCCTTCACCATCAGCACAAGTCATCGCCAACCGCACGGAAAATAATCGACAGGAAGACGCGTCGGAAAGGGCCTCTGGCGACAATTCTGAGCGACTCTGGATCTTTATTTTCCGGAACTTTTGAAGGCGGCACCGGGCATTTAACTTGCCTGTTTGATTGCCGCTTCTTAGATTTACGGCGATTGTTCCATTTCGTCCCCTTCTTTTTTGTGACTGTCTGCGCTCGCTCTTTTCTTCGGGCAGTCGACGGTCATGTTGTAATCTGCGCGACCTTCATCAATCCACGCTGCGAACCACGTTAAGGTCGCGAAGCCAGCTCTCCTCAGAAGGCAAGATAAGTCGCGCTGAACAGAGAGTGAGAAAGAGAGAGAGACACGAACTGCAGGGTATGATACACTTCTCCCCCCAAGCCAACCTCACATTGTCTGTCCCCTTTCCCACGCTTCCCAACACCTCCCCTTTCCCCCAAATCACTCATCTGTCCAACACACCGCCATCATGATGAGCGCGATTCCCATCAACATCATCCGGTCACCATCCACTCCTCAAAGGAGACGCAGACATGGCGATGTTTGTTTGAGTGAAAATTCTTGATGAAGCCATGGCGTTCGAACTCAACCCGCACTGGACTTGTGCAGCGATGAATTTGCAAAGTCGGAACAGATCAGGGGCAGACGCAGACACTACGCGCGTGGAAATGTGGACAAGGACACGAGTGAACCTCATGTTTAGAATGTTTTGCAAAGCAGAACGCCTTGTTCCGCGGCGCGGCGGGCATCGGTTGGTACATCCACCATGCGAAAAGGGATACATGAGGGCCAAGAGCAAGCAGACCGGGCAATTCAGACGACTCAGTTCCTCTCAAGGATACTTGTCGATGTTCCGAAGAGTGGCTTTCATCCTCCACCTCTTCAGCTTCGCGTACATCAATCCCACTCCATTCGACTTCGCCATTCAAGACTTGCTGCGCAAGTTGCAGACAGACGGGATATTGGATTGGGTGCAGAGGGCGGGTCTACGGGCAGTGCACCTGACCCTTCCCCCCCTCGAAGTACGCTGTCTCGGGCCTTGGACCTCCACCACAGCGAACGGCCGGCTGGATGTAGCCCACTGGAAACAAGGGACCACCCAACACCTTTTGGCCACCTCAACTCAGCTCGCCTTCACCACTCGCCGTCGGCTAGGAGACAGACAAACCACGCGGGAAAACAGAAGCACTGAGAAAAGAACGTCTGCCATTGAAGCCAAATCAATCACCTCCCGGCGCGGAGTCGATTTTCACTGCAATTCAATCAAGCGTCCATCACCCATCAATCACGCAACCCAGGAAAACTACCAACAAACACTTCAATGCCTTCCATTTCCAACTACGCAAGAGGGCGACCTTCCCAGCTTCTTCTATAAGTGCTCTTCGGGAGTCGGCTTCTCCTCCAGTCCAGCACTGCTAGCTCTTCCGGGGTTCCATCAACTGCGCCTTCCACAGGCACCAAAGCATCAAACGATTTCACTACAGACCGAGTGGTCGTGGGATCAAAATCGCACTTCTAGATGTCAATCTCACATCAACACTCCCTACACAAACCACACACGCAGTCTTGCCATATCCATGCCGTTCCTGATTGCTAACCAATTTTTACAGTCCTCTCCAGGCAAGATACAACACGATCGCCCTCCATCATTCCCCTACCATCAGAATTCTGTGTCTTCGGCGCATTCACCACATCACAATCCCTGCCGCTTCGACGCATTCAGACTAGTGCACTCCTCCATCACCCACTGCCACATCAAGGTAAGCTGCAAGCCCACGGCCGGCAATTAACCGTTCCGGCCCCCGTCCTTCTCCACTTCATGTTCCTCGACAGCAGTTTTAGCTGGCAGGAGTACCTATCAAGATTTTATTCCACCCATCGAACCTTAACTTCCCCAAACTCTTATCTCCACCCCACCTCTTGAAAGAGTTTCTTTTCTCATACCCCAAATGCTTCCATCCCTGGCGGCGCCCAATCAGCGTCGAGTCTTCTTCCCTCGCTCGTCTGATCACCCTGCCGCACCGTCAAGCTAGAAGGCGTGCCAAAAGTAGTGCACCTCCATCGGATAGATGCTAATTGGCTCAAGCTGTGCAGTGCTCTCCACCAATGATTGTATGAGGATTTCCTAAACTTCATCGTCTCTCACTGCGTCTTCTTCCATAACGGAGGAAGAGGCCGATATAATGCAGAACTGGCAGCAAAATGGCCAGACGGGTTCTGCTCAAGGCCACAATAATATGTGGTCGGGCTCCTACGCGTTCCCTGATGGATCCAACCAGTTCGATGCCTCCCAAAATTGGCAGCATCAAATTCCCAACCAAAATGCTTTCCCACAACTTGCCCCACGAGGGGGGGGCAACACAAACGAGAATAATCTCTATGCTTCACCACATCAAGGGCATGCCGTCGTAGCCAACGACCACAACGGCATGTCGACATTGAATCACGGCAACTTCCATAACGGCCATGGCCAATTCTCGCTTGATACTGCATACACAGACGCTGGCCAAGAAGACCCTTTGGCTAGTTTAAGTGAATACCCCCAAGACTTATACGGCCAGCCGAGCAAGGCTGATTTCAACAACGCCAACATCGACAACCTCAACCACAGTCATACCCCTGACTTCACACAGCAACAATTTCAATACAACGGTCAGGCCAATCAGCTGTTCAATGGAAATGTTCCTCAATATACCGAGGCTCAACTCATGCCTCAGCATGGCCACCAGTCCCAGGCGCAGCTGCAGCAGCGCTTCGACTCTGTTCCCCAGTCATTCTCACCCGCTCCTCAGGGCTATGTTCCATCACCTCAACAACATCAGGCTCAGCCTGAGAGAGTCTTTTCTCAATCACCTCATCCCTTTCAAGGTCAGCCGCCTCGTCAACAAAACAGCCAGGGATTCTCTACCCAAACGCCTCCGCCATCTTTCCAGCAAAATCAACCGCCGCAATACCAGCAGAGCAAGTTTGTCCCTCAGCAAATGTCTTATGCTCAGCCTGTAGCAAGATCACCTTTTCAACCCGTTGCTGCAAGGCAGATGCCAGGTCAGGATCCGGCACCTCAGCAATCTCCGCAAGCCCAGCAACAACAGTCCATACACCAGGTCAAGCCAGCCCCCTCACCGGCGCCGGCTCGTCAACTTCAACCACAACAGCCGCAGCCACAGCCACAGCCGCAGCCGCAGCAGCAACCACAGCAGCAGCAGCAGCACAACCATCAGCAGCCGTTGCAGCCATCACAACCGCAGCTCATCGCTGCAGCACCAGTTTCTCAACCTGAGACGCATGTCATCGACCCTGCGCTCCAACCTGAGCCGGCGCCGCAGAAGAAGCGCAAGCGTGTCGTCAAGAAGGAGCCTGAACCTGAACAAGCCGACTCCCCTGGCGATGCGACTGTCAAAAAGGGAGAAGATGGAGAAACACTGGTCCTGCCTTCTAGCACCGAGGAAGAATTGTCTCTCCTGGCACAATTTAAGAAACGCAACGCCACATCCAAGAAGCAGTTCCCTCCCATTCCCGGAGCTTCGTTTCTTGTTGCTACTGGCTCAGCCAAGTTGATCCCGCCCAAGAGTTACGACCGACTCGCGCCTCTAGTCGCTTTGCCGTCACCCAATGGAAGACGTATCTTGCCTGAACTCCGCCCCGATCTTCCGTGTGAGATTCAAGGGAGATTCATGGAAAATTACAAGCCGTCTCCAAACTTTGTCGGAAAGCCGGACGATCGCGAGACGGAGGCAAGACCTCTCATCGACCAATATCAACGTGAGATGACGAGCTTAGGTCTTCGGCGACCTAAGTACGCCGACTACCCCTTCGCCTTCCAGGAACAGCTCAAGGCCGACGAGGCCGCCAAATCCAAAGCCCAGAGAAAGGCTCGAAAGGAAGAGGAAGAAGAACGAAAGAAGCCCATTCGTCCTGAGAAGCGGCCAGCAGACCCTATTGAGGGTGCTGTCTGGGACATCCTTGGCATTGTTTACATTGATCCTTCCGCGACTAGAACTAATGCGCTCATTGCTGGCGCCGTTCAGTCTCTGGGTGAATTTTTCATTAAGCTGAGATCGGAGACGAACCGTTTGAAGCAGGAACTCGACCAAGCAACGAAGGAGAAGAAGCCTGAGAAGGAAATTGCAGAGTGGAACAAAAAGCTCGACGTCAAGAAGGAGACCTTCACTCGAGTTTGCGAAGCGGCAGCTAAACATGGCGATGAGGCCGTGCTGGAGAACTTTGGCGGTCATCAGAAGGGCATCTTGAGTCTGGTCAACATGTTGATAGGCGCCATAAAGGCTGGTGATTTCAGCGGACCTCTGCCCAAGGCTCTTCTTCGATTCATGTCAAATATCAGCATGTTCAAGAAAGTTACAGAAGCTGTCAACTTCGAGAACGTGCGGAAGCGCCTTGCTGACAAGGGCGATGCTGAGGTCAAGGAACTGGTCCGTACGATAGCGTCGAGGATTAAGAAAGACACAGAAACAGCCAATGGGGTCGAGATCAAGAAGACAACGTCGGCTGCTCCTGTCAACAAAGTCACCAAACCGGTCGCTAAGCCTATTGATGGCTCTCCTGCTAAGAGAGTCCGGGATGAGGAAATCGATTCTCGCATTGCCAAGAAACTAGCCGTCGAGTCAACAACAGGTGGTGTGCTAGGTAACAAGGTCGGGGCCAAGCCGGTTGCCGGAAGTCTGCAATCCAAATTTGCTGGTGTAAAGCGACCAGTGCAATCGACTACCCTCGCTAGCAAAATTCGGGCGCCTAAGCCAGTTGGGCCAAGGGACGTTCCTAAGGGTGAGCCTTCGAAATCCGAAGGACCCAACACGGCCACGCCTATGGATGTAGACAAGAAGACAGCAGCATCGGCGGTTAAGCCCGAGTCAAGGGCGTCTGCTCCCAAGGCTGCTGTCTCCAGCGGCTCCTCTTTGTCCAGCATTGCTTCTCTACTCGACTCCATTACCGCGCCTAAGCCAGACGGGCCCTCAACACAGGCGAAGGATTCGAGCAAGAAAGATATCTCGGAAACACCTGAACAAAAGGCAAAGCGACTTCGTAAAGAGGCCCGCCGCCATCTACGTGTGAGCTTCAAGCCCCCTGAAGAGCTGGTGGAGATTCGCATTTTTACCAAAGAGGTCGCAGAAGGCGAAGATAATATGACCAAGGACGCAGCGGATGACCGATCCGAGGGTATGATGCTCAAACAGCGCAATTACAATGAGGATGATGACGAGGAGGACGAGTTGCCAGAGAAGCCTTGGACCATGCCTACCCTCGCCGACCTTTCTGGAATCCCCGAAGACATTCGCAACAAGTCTTACGTTACTCGTGGCGGTAACCTGACTTTCCACACAGAGGAACAGAAAGCCATAGAGGAGCGGGAGAAGAGGGAGCTTATGGTCACCTACATGGACATTGCCGACATTCCGCCTACACCCAAGTCTCCAGCTCCCGAGTCTGCGACAGTCACGAGCGATTCTGAGGGCAAAGTCTATCAGTTGCCTCAGGGTGAGCCGAAATTTGACGAGATCCACAAGCGCTGGAAGGAGACACAGACATTCGGTTGGGAGGCGGCGCAATACTATGCTCGCAAGCGCCTTGATGCCAAGGACGACCCCGGTGCAAAGATCAACTCGATTTTGGGCAACCTTAAGCCAATTGCCCCGGCCGTGGTGCCCGAACCGTACAACATGACACCGCCCAAGGAGAACGCGCAGCCGATCCTGCCTCCCGCAGTGGAGATGCAGCCTATTCCGGCGATACCTTTTGACGACAAAGTCCACAGCATTCTCACCTCCGACGAGGTGAAGACCTGGCGTGATGCCAACCCGTTCAACTCGGCTACCCCGCAGACTCACCGACGCTACGATTACCCGGACCCAAACATTCAAGCAGCCGCCGACCAGGTTGAGGAGGCGGCTGAGACGTTGCGAGGACTGCCATACCCGGCGACTAGTCCACCAGCATACTTGGCAAATGACCAGGAAAGAACGAGAGAGTGGTGGGCCGGATACCAGAAGGACGTTACGGCGAGAGCCAGGAAGGAGGCAGAGGATACGGCTCGTAACGCACCCCAGAACGAGGCCCAGACTCAACAACCCGCTGCATCTGAAACTCAAGAGCAGCAGTGGGCAGCTTACTACCAGCAACAGCAACAATACGCACAGTACATGGCCATGCTCCAGGGCGGACAACCTCAGCAATCAGCTCAAGCAGCACCTGCCCCGGCTCCCGCGGCACAGCCTACACAGGACTCCCAGCTTCAAGCGATGCTCGCTCAGATGGCCCAGCAGCAGCCGGCAGCGCAAGGCAACGCATATGGGCTGAACCCATCAGACACTGGTTACCAGCAGCTGATGATGCTCGCACAGCTCCAGCAACAACCCCAGCAGCAGCAGCAAGCACCGCCTCCGCCAGTCGTTCCACAGTCTCCGCCTGAGCACGACGCGAACTCGTATAAGCCTCCTCCTCACCTTCAGCGCCAGCTTGTGGACTACAGCGACCGGGACACTAGAGACGAGTTCGAGCATCACGGTGGACGCGAGCGGGATAGGGAACGTGGCCGTGATCGTGATCGCGAAGGAAAGGGTGGTAAGCAGGGCAAGAACCGCAAGGGCAACGCTCCTGGCGGCGCCACGCTCGCTCCCCATCGCCCTGTCAATCGGGCTCTCATCGGAACCAAGCCTTGCAGCTTTTGGCAGCAAGGCAAGTGCGCTAGAGGGGAGAAGTGCACTTTCAGGCACGACAATTAAATCCGCAAACGCCACGCGGATCATGTACATCCTAGTCACATTTGGCTGGATCTGGGGAACAGGAACCCCGGAATTTTCTTTTGTTATAATACTCGCCGAACGTGGGAAGTGAAACAAGGATTCGGGCTCGTCCCGTGAGACAGAGGTTGGTGAAACGAAGACAGCCCGGGGAATGTGACAGGGCAGAGGTCTTTTTCATCTTGTTTTTCGGCATAGCATTATCAGGAACTGGGGTCTAGCATTTGCATCAACGAAACCGTGGATCATGGAAACAGGGATGGGTCTTGAGGAAACATGCATAACAGGACTGGACGGGGGTTTTGAGATGATCATTGTTGCGGGCACTTCGCGTGCCGCTTACTTACCTGGTCCCAATAGACCAGGCCAATACCTTTGTACACTAGCCACCACGTTGTCTACGAATGACAATAATTCCAACATCAGCTGTCCCTTGTGTGAATTCAGTGACTCAATATGAATAGACAAATGGGGTTGGTTCTACGGGTTTCCCCTTGCCCCCCTTGTGAACAGAAGAAGTCCCACTACATTAGAGAGGAGAGTAGTCCCCGCAAAGAGTCCAAGCCAAGATGCTGTTCGAGGTTTCTAGTTCAGAATGCTTATGGACGATTGCTTCGGCAAAGAGCTCTATGTCGCTGTGGACTGTCCTAGTTCAACGACCAGAATCTCGTTCAAGGGAGATGAATCAACAGCTGAATCTCGACGAGCACCCCAAAAGCAAGGAAGGAAGCAACATTGCCTAAATATCACCAAGATTACCAGAACATACCACATTTATCAATGACCAAGATTTTATCCACCAACTTCAGATTATCAAGACAACCAAGTATAGAAGAATAAAAAACCCCAAAAAAAAGTCAAAAAGGAAAGGAAGGGAAGGGAGCTGGTGATCACTTACGCTAGAATTCACGCCCCTGTCCGGACTCGAACAGCGCGCCCCTCGGACCAGCACGGCTTCATTGGAGTATTTGTTTTGGCTTCTCTGCGTCAGAGTGTAAACCACCCGGCCAATCGGCCGGATGGGTGCTGGTGACAGAAGAGGTGAATAGACTCCTCACGTATTATGGTGGCCAGCCTTGTTCGGGTGAGGGAGGGGGGGAGGGCAGGAAAGGGGCGTTGAAGCGGAAGGAACGAGCGAGGTGAGGCTTTTGGGCGGATAGGAGTTATATGGAAAGAGAAGACGACCTCACTTTCACCTTGATGAGCATGAGCTGCGTCTTTGGTTACTCCAAGGCAAGATGCCTTACTTTCCATAGTTCAGGCCAAGTGGCTGGTTGTATAGCTTCCTTTGTCTTCATGTATCGAACCTTAATCTTGCATACCTTACGTATATCAACTTACAAATATTTACCCTTCATTCACCTCCCGTCGTCCCTCAACCCAACCCTCATCTGTCCCTTACCGCCCCTATTTGACCGAAAGTAAAACGGCACAAATACAAGCTCCCTCTCCACCCCATCCTCGCCCCTCGCCAGAACCTCAGGCGACCGTTCCCAGCCCGTGGTCTTCAACGCGAAATACCCCTCTCCGCTCTTCTCGTCAACCCTCCACTCCTCCTCCACGGCCGTCCCCCTCTTGATCCCCACGTCCTTGAAGTGATTTTCCTCCCACGGGTGATCGGCGTCCTCGACGCAGTACACGATCGGTCCCCTCGCCAGGCTGAGCGTGCGCTGGTTGGTGTACGGATGGGGCGCGATATACCGCGGCGCGAAGCTGGCGCCGCCGATGTCGAGCGAGAAAACTGGGTTCGAGGCCGTGTACGAAGGGTCTAGGCGGAGGTAGCCTCCCTTTTCGAGCGTAGCTGTCCCCGTCGGTGGTGTAGGCGTGAGGACGTGGCCATGCTGTATCGCCCAGGCTGGGATACGTAGTCGGATCGTCGTATTGAGAGAGTCTGCGCCCTTGAGCTGGAAGAGGATGTTGCCTTCCCACGGCCAGTTGGACTTTTGCGAAAACGTGACCTCGGCGCCGTCCACCGGGAACTTCACCTCGGCGCTGCTATACAAATGCACATTCACAAACGCCGCCCCCGTCTTCCCCTCCTCGCCCTCGCCACTCCCACCCCCATAATCCCAAAGATACCCGCCCAAACTCCCAAACAGCCTCGTCACATTCGGCGGACAACAAGCACACACAAACCAGTCCTCCCTCTCGCTCCTCGCTGCCTCGCAGCTCGCGAGCTGATTCTCGTACGTGAAGGCCTTCCCGTCGGCGCTCATGGCCGTCATGACGTTGTTGTACAGGCACAGCTCCATGACGTCGGCGTACCGGCCGTTCGGCTCCGGCCCGTCCGCGTGCAGCAGGCGCTCCGCGAGCATCATCACCCCGACCGAGGCGCACGTCTCGGCGTAGCAACCGCCTTCGTCGGGGCCTTGCGGGAGGAAGTAGTCGATGCCGAAGCCTTCCCACTGCGCTACGGCGCCGACGCCGCCGGTGAGGTACATTTTCTTGTCGACTGTCGAGGACCAGAGGCGTCGGAGGGCGGCGAGCCAGGCTGGGGCGGCGGTCAGGGGTCGGACTGGAGCTGTGCTGCCGCTGCTCTTCCGTGAGATGTTCAAGAGGTCGGCTGCCGCGGTGAGGAGGTACATCGCCCTCACGGCATGCCCCTCGACGGACTCCTGCTCGAGGATCGGGACGTGGGCCTGGCAGTACCAGTACGACCTGTCCATGGGCCACGAGTTGGGCCGTTTCCAGCGCGGCTCGTCGCGCCGCTCCATCTCCCAGTCGTAGTAGTGCTTCCCCTCCTGGCCCGTCGGGTTCCCGCGCTCCTCGAGGAAGAAGCGCGCGAGGTCGTAGGCCTCGGTGTTGCCCGTCGCCGCGTAGCACCGCAGGAGGGCCAGCTCGATTTCCGGGTGGCCCGGGTAGGCTCGTAATTGGCCCTCGCCGGGGCCGAAGCGGCGGTGGATGTGGGAGATGTACTTTTCGAGGGGTTCCATGAGGAGGTCGTTTCTGTAGTATTGTCTGTGGGCTAGGGCTGCTTCGATGAGGTGGCCGGCGTTGTACCTGTGATTTCACCCTGTGAGTCTCTGTTGTAATCTACGTGGTGAGTCAAGTGAGATGGGGTTTCACATTTCATGCATATCACGAATATTCGTCCACCTCTTGCCCGGCTCCACGACGGAGAAGTGAACATTGAGGTACCCGTCCTCATGCTGCGCGCCGCGGATCATGGCAACGAGCTCCCGCACGGCGGCGTCGACCTCCACATCGTACTCGTCTACGAGGAAATAGCACGCGCCCTCGATCCACTTCGCGACGTCGCTGTCCCAGAAGAGGTGCAGGGGCGCGGGCCAGCGCGAGCGGTCGTCGTAGATGGGGTGCCAGCCGAGCTTGAAGCAGTCGTACTGGCCGTTGGCGCGGAGCTGGGAGAGTTGGGCGTGGACTGTGGTGCGGGAGACGGTGGCGCGGCGGGTGCGGAGGAGGGAGGGGGCTGTGAAGGTCGTTTGGCGGAAGGTTGTTTGCGGGTGGGACATGTTTTATCGCTTTCTGCCCGGGGATACTGTTTAGGTAGAGTGTGGGTTGAGGTATGATGGGAGGGGTGAGGACTCAAAGATGTCACGATGTGTGGGAGAAAGTCATGAGGAAGGCCCTTGGTGAGAGAGAGGGTCTTGGCGAACGTCGAGATATAAATGAGATGGCGGATTGAGTATTGAAGCTCTGATGGAGCAAGGATGTAACCGCGAACTTGAGGTGCTTAGGATCGCCGAAAAAGGAAAGTCGAACTGATAAGGACGATGCGAGGTAGTTTCGACAGCGGAGTTGATCGGTGAATAGGCTTGGATTCAAGGAAACAGAGGTAGACAAGTAAGGATAAGCGTGGAATGGCTTAGCTGGAACTGAGCTCTTGATCAGGGCAGACGAACTTCACTAGAGGCTCAGTCCAGATACGAGACATGGGACCAACCAGACGAAGCCTTCCGTCCCGGATTCTGAGTGAGTGACGGCCGATCTCTTGTGCGGGGTCAAGTGCGCCGGCCGGGCCGTCCGTCCGGGATCCGGCAAGCTGCCCGAGATTTTGGGGTTCCCAAGATGTGAGATAGGCTCACCGCGACCGATCTGAGATATCGGGTCAATGCCGGCCGGCATGTACTAGATTGACTTGAGAGTTTAAAGTATGGCCGAGTTGCTGGTGATCTGGTAAAGACGCGCAAACGCGAGACGCAAAGAATTTGGACACGAAGTTTTCATGACGGTCATTAAATTTCAATTGGTAGTGTGGTATCTTAAAAGAGGTCATCAATCGCCTTATCGGCATCCTTCTTGATGAGATCAACCATGCCCTGGAGAGATGTCAGACTCACACAGTTCTCATCTCATGGAACTTCTCGCAGAGGAGGTATCTGGATGGGAAAATTATTGAAACTCACCTCTGGCATAATGGGCTGGCCGTCCTTATCCGTGACATACTTGAAGGGCATCTCGGTGCTCTCATGCTCACTGAACTTGAGCTCGGGGTATGTGACGTAAGGAATCTTGTCCAGCGGTGCTATTGTCACCCGTGAGCATCTCATTGAGTTATGCGATACTAGGAGAAGGGTGGTTGGCACGTACTCTTCTCCTCGACAACGATTCTCGTGACGCGGACTGCTGTGTCAGTCGTCATCTGGGTGGGACCCAGGCGTCTGCCTTCGAAACCCTTCTTCCTCAACTCGGAGGTGCGGTCTGCAGGGGTTAGCGAGAAGGGGTTTGACATTTATGTGACCAAGCCAAGGTCACGAGTGGAATGGTAAGGAATAGTATACCTCTTGGGGGGTCATCGCCTAAAGAGAGGGAAATAATCAGCAAAAAGTTCAATGAGGAATGAGATTCACGAGACCAATTCGCATCGGGGTGAATGACGTACCCAAAATGCCGCCAAAAAGGAAGGCGTCGAATTTTTCACCGTCCTCGGGGCTCAGGTCGCTGGCGGCGGAGGGGTCGAGCAGGCAGACGCGGGACTTGTCGGCGGCGTAGAGCTCCTCGACGCCCCGGTTCTCGGCCTTGAA